CGACTGGACCTAATGGTCAGGGGTCCCTTTACCTTTACCTTTAACACAATGTGGGAACTGGGCTTTCATACCCAGAATCAGGCTGTGTAAACTATACCTTTAAAGCACATTTGAAACACATCCTACAGAAAATCTGGGCACTGTGGTTTGTTAAATGTTGCTGGGGCTTGCAATTCTCTGCACCCTTAAGAAATCACAGTGCCCAGAATTATTTAAGGGAAATAAGGTGTTTCAAATTAGCTTTCCTGTTATGTACTGAAGTTCTCACCCTGGGCCAGCAGGGGAATACTGTAGATAGTTATGCAAATAAGGGATCGAAAGTGACGTTCAGTGATTGGATAGTTTTAGAAAGTTGTTACAGTAACGTTGTACTGGAGCTCTATATAAGCAGGCTGGCTGAACCCTTCAGTTCAGTTCTGTCCTGGCCTGTGAATAAACAAGAGCTGTTTGAAGAATCCTGTGTCATCTGATATGTTCACCCACAACTTAACATTTCCCACCTCATCAGTGCTTGCTGATAAGGATATCAGGCTGTATGGGGTTGATTTCCTGTGACCATTGGAAAGGACTCCTGGAATCTGCTTCTCAAGGCTCTTTTCAGAAGGTCAAAATTTCTGTCTTATCCTGGGGATTCCCCTAAGGACTGCCAGTTGGGAAGAGTTTTAGTGACGTGTCACCTTTCTAGCTGTCAAAACGGGTGGATAAAAATCTTGGGAGGGAAATGCGGTCAGTCTTTCAATGACATTCACACTTCCTACAAGATGTGTGGTTTTAACTGTTTTTGGAACAGTGCCATTCAGAGGAGGCGTGCTCCTGCGTTTGTTCTGTATCTTTACACTAAGGGTTTTTTATACTAATAATTTAAAAGCATACAAGAAAACAGCTTCCTTTCAGAAGAGGCAGACATGCCATGCATAATCACAACCCCTTTGCCTTTATAGGCTTAAGGAACGAAACCCAAACCCATATTTTTGTTTAGCTCAGGGAAAAGGTAGGCTTCAAATATAACAAGGTGTGCTAACCAGTTGTGGCAATCAAAGTCTCAGTTTAGCCCCAATCTAGAACAGAAAAAAAAAGACCTGAGAGGGGTTTTTTTTCTCCTGGAGGAACCACAAAAATATATCGGAGTCATGTTGATCCTTTGTTTGCATTCCATTTCCTTGCCCTTCCTCCCATGGCCTCTCTGCCGCTGCTGCAGAATCACCCTTATTCCTTTTTTGGTTCTCTCTTTTCCCCCCTCCTGCCCCCAGCATGCCTGGAGGAAACGATAAGTTAGAGGGCTGCTTATTTCGTTTTCCGGGCAGCTTGTGCAATCGGAGTGACACCAGATTGCCCCGTATCGGCTTGAGGGGCTTATGAGTTCCACGAAAGCCGGATTTCCTGGCAGGGTTAATGGGGCCAGTTTTCAAAATGTTTGCCTGAAAACAAGGCTACCACATGTTCATGATTCATATGGATGGCTCCTATTTTGAGAGCCCCGTTCCATAATAACTGGAACCCTTACTAAGGACAGAGGTTGCCCATGGTTTTTTTGTGAAGGCTGAATTGCTCGTCTAAATAACTTTCAGCCAATGCTGCTGTCTTCCGCTTTAGGGAGATGTGTTTTGAGAATTAAAAGGCACCCGAAGCAGCAAAGTTTTTACTTTCCCCAAGGTTGGTTTAAATGTTTTAGAAGTTGTTTTTTTAGAATACAGTGCACATAATTATTTTACTAGCTGTATGTGCTCCCAGTGTATGTCTACCTACAGAGATCGGTTTTAAACCTAGACAGCAACTTAAAAAGCAGAGACATCACCTTGCCATCAAAGGTCCGTATAGTTAAAGCTATGGTTTTCCCAGTAGTGATGTATGGAAGTGAGAGCTGGACCATAAAGAAGGCTGATCGCCGAAGAATTGATGCTTTTGAATTATGGTGCTGGAGGAGACTCTGGAGAGTCCCATGGACTGCAAGAAGATCAAACCTCTCCATTCTGAAGGAAATCAGCCCTGAGTGCTCACTGGAAGGACAGATCCTGAAGCTGAGGCTCCAATACTTTGGCCACCTCATGAGAAGAGAAGACTCCCTGGAAAAGACCCTGATGTTGGGAAAGATGGAGGGCACAAGGAGAAGGGGATGGCAGAGGACAAGATGGTTGGACAGTGTTCTTGAAGCTACCAGCATGCGTTTGACCAAACTGCAGGAGGCAGTGGAAGACAGGAGTGCCTGGCGTGCTCTGGTCCATGGGGTCACGAAGAGTCGGACACGACTAAATGACTAAACAACAACAAGCATGGTTAGGATCTGGCTGCAATTCTGGAATGCAGAAAACGGAAGTGCTGCTTGGTTTCAGGGATAATTAGTCTTTAGAGATCTATTTTTCAAGCCTGTATTTAATAAGTAAAATCATTTTTAAAAGGCAACTTAGACAGCCACAAGAAAAGCTGATCAGAAATAAGCCCAAGTCCAAGACATAAAAGCGTAATAGAACATCAAACATTAATAGTAACAATCTGATCCAATATGAAAGTCACAATAACTTTTAGATAAGCAACTTATATCAAACGAAGCAACATTCAACAATCCATCAGAATCTAATAGTAAGCAGTACAATTCAACATCAGCAAATAACAATTAAACGGTTCAACCACGATAAAGAATTACCAATCTATAATTATTAAAAGTAACAACAAATCACAATGCATAAAATACCACAAAACATACAAAACCATGTAAAAGGATCAAATTGAGAAACAAAAACGTGCAACTTATAAATCTCTTTTTTTTAAAAAAAACCATCCCTGAACTCCTCTCTTCCCAGCTGCTGCTGCTGCTCTTAAAGTCATAGTCTGGGAAGGGCTAGTTGGGGCAAGACAGGTGGAAATACAATTACCTGATGAGGAACAGAAAGTCTCTCTCTGCCATTCGTCCGGATTTTCCTGGACACTCCAGCTATGCCCAGAAAATTCCAGATGTATGGCAATCCTACTTTAAACCGTTTTGGCTTCCCCCAAAGACTCCTGGGAACTGTAGTTTAAGGGTGCTGAGAGTTGTTAGGAGACCCCAATTTCGCCCACAGAACTACAATTCCCAGAGTTCCCTGAGGTTGACTGTTAAGCCACTCCGGAAACTGACTTTGTGAGGGCAATGAGGGGGTCTCCTAACAGCTCCTGGCACCCTTGACAAACTTGGGCCTGTAACTCTTTCTCAGCCTAAACTTACCTCACGTTTAGGAGCACATAGCCCCTGCCCCCTAGGATTTTTGCTTTTCTTACTGAAATTCTTTTTTCCTTCCCTCTAAATTCCTTAGATGTTTTCTTTGAACAGGGACCTCCAAATTTGGTGGCAGCTCCATTTACAAAGTTGGGAGGCTAAATTTGTACGGTCCTGTATGCGCAGCCCGTAGCTCCTTGGAAACGGGCAGGATTCAAAAGGCGATGTAATTTGAAAAAATAAATTGAAACGAAACAAAATCAGAAGCCTTCCCTTTCTTTGCAGCATCAGTTCTTGCTGTTTCCCCCTTTTAAATCCATTCTTTGTTTTTTTTTATTTATTTTACGGTTTTATAACCAGCCCATACCCTTTCATGCCGATCAGAAGGTCGGCGGTTCGAATCCCCGCGACGGGGTGAGCTCCCGTTGCTCTGTCCCAGCTCCTGCCAACCTAGCAGTTCGAAAGCACACCAGTGCAAGTAGATAAATAGGTACCACTGTGGCGGGAAGGAAACGGCGTTTCCGTGCACTCTGGTTTCTGTCACAGTGTCCCGTTGCTCCAGAAGCAGTTTAGGCCTGCTGGCCACATGACCCGGAAAGCTGTCTGTGGACAAACGCCGGCTCCCTCGGCCTGAAGCGAGATGAGCGCCGCAACCCCATAGTCGCCTTTGACTGGACTTATCCGTCCAGGGGTCCTTTACCTTTTTACCTTTTTTACTATATACATTCACAACCAGGATGGCAGGAGCTGGGACAGGGGAATGGGAGCTCACTCTGTCACGGGGATTCGAACCGCTGACCTTCTGATCGGCAAGCCCAAGAGGCTCAGTAGTTTAGACGACAGCGCCACCTGCATTAGCATCACACTGGCACAATGACCGCTCCCCGCTTAAAACGGGGGGCGCCCTTTGCGTGGACGCGTGCAGCCCCTAGATCTGGAGCGGCTCCAACAGCATAGGCTTGGCTTTGCCTTCCCTCAGGTGGGATACCTGGAGGTCTCCGCCTACCTCAGTCAGTTGTCCAATCCTACCTGGGGGAAGCGTTGCCAAGGAGACCAGGCCAGGTAGGGGAGGGATTACCTGCCCACACAATAGAGGGAGGATCTTACCTGGGAATCCTCACTTGGCTCCAGAGCTTCTCCCACCCTACCCACCCTCAGTTAATGTCATTTTGCAGGTTAACTTTTCTTCACAGGTTTTGCAGGTTAACTTTTCTTCACAGGTATGCGGGCGCTGCTACGTTAAGGTCGCTGTTAAAGGGCCAGAAAGGAATTTCCCTGCATTGGCAGGTTTCGCCTTTCCCGTAGCAAAACGTCACAACTTTGGCGGTATCAGGCCTTGGGCGGAATCCTTTTGTCCATCTTCCTCTTTGCGGCGGCGATACCAGGGTTCCCCGTTAAAGGGGTTCTCTGAAGGGAGGCTTTGACCATACGCCGAAAGGTCATCATTGCTCTCCCCTGCGGCGGCGGCGTTACGGGGGCGGCTATCTCTGCTTGAACATATGTTCTCCAGAGCCGGCCCATCCCCCCCCCACTGGATAACCCTGATGCTCCCTAGGTCCCCGGCTGGGGACTGGGGAGGGAGAACGCCCAATGCCTGAGCCAAGGTCTACCCACATTTGAAATTTAATAAAGTTGTGGCCAATTTAATCCCATAGCACATTGTCTTGCGTCGTTATTCCACATGACGGGGGGACCGCGCGGGATCTGGGGACTCCGCCTGTCCACGCAAAGCCCATTTTGACGGGATTACTCTTTCTCTGTGAGAACCCGCTCCTCTTTATCTTACGGTTGGCCTTTCTCCCTCCAACAGGGCATGCCCCCTGGATTTTCCCGCTGCGACTCGAAGGACAACCTAATTAAAAATGGCTGTATGAAAAACTTGATCGAGTATCCAGTCAGCAGCACTGAAATCCTGGAGGATAGGCAGCTCAGTGACAAAGGATCAGGAAGCGACATCACTCAGATGACCCCACAGAAGATCAGGCTCCACCTGCGGCCAGGTAAGCTGAGAGACACTATTCGGTTATTGCAGTTTTAGCACATCGGTGAGCTTTTCCCAGAGGACTTCAGGGTGCTGTAAGTGGTTATCTATTAAAACTTCATCCCATACATAGATGAGAGATCAGCCATAGCACAATGGATGCTCAAGACATATCCAGAGTTTCAAGCCATGGCGAAGAAGAGAGTTTGGGTCAGCTTATGTCTTTCTTTCTCTTTTGGTCTGTTATATATATATATATATATATATATATATAATTTTTATTGAATTTTTTGTTTTACAATTTAAAGTCCTCATTTTTATATCCTCAAGATATTAATGACTTCCCTTCTCCTTCCATGGTTCATTTTACATATCATAAATCCCTGCATATTTTACAAAAGCTATACCATCCAGTATTCCAATCATTACACCCATCAAAACTTGTTCACACTGTTGAATTTATCTTAACGCTGCCAGCCTTTTCAGCTGTGCACAGTTATTTCCCATATATTCAACAGACGTTTTCCAGTCGTCTTTAAATGTATGTTCTTCTTTTTCTCTTATTCTATATGTTAAGTCTGCAAGCTGCACGTATTCTGTCAACTTAAGTCTCCATTCTTCTTTTGCTGGGACCTTGCTTGTTTTCCGTTTTGGGGCTAACAAAACACGGGCCGCAGTAATGGCATACATAAATAACCTTTTTTGAAACCTGGAGATTTCAGTCTGAATTATCCCCAACAGGAAGGACTCTGGGTTGTTGTTGGTTTTTTTTGGGGGGGAGGAGTACTTTTAAACTCCCCCCCCCCAATTCATTACGGATCATTTCCCAATACTCTTTCACAAGTCCACCACATATGGGTCAGCTTATGTCAATATGGGGGACGCGGGTGGCGCTGTGGGTAAAAGCCTCAGCGCCTAGGGCTTGCCGATCGAAAGGTCGGCGGTTTGAATCCCCGCGGCGGGGTGCGCTCCCGTTGCTCGGTCCCAGCGCCTGCCAACCTAGCAGTTCGAAAGCACCCCCGGGTGCAAGTAGATAAATAGGGACCGCTTTCTAGCGGGAAGGTAAACGGCGTTCCGTGTGCTGCGCTGGCTCGCCAGATGCAGCTTGTCACGCTGGCCACGTGACCCGGAAGTGTCTCCGGACAGCGCTGGCCCCTGGCCTCTTAAGTGAGATGGGCGCACAACCCCAGAGTCTGTCAAGACTGGCCCGTACGGGCAAGGGTACCTTTACCTTTACCTATGTCAATATGGGCCTATGTCAGCATAACAAGGTTAATTACTCAAGTATGTGAAAGGAAGGGACCCGGGTGGCTCTGAGGGTTAAACTACAGAGCCTAAGACTTGCCGATCAGAAGGTCAGCAGTTCGAATCCCCGCAACGGGGTGAGCTCCTGTTGCTCGGTCCCTGCTCCTGCCAACCTAGCAGTTCGAAAGCACGTCAAAGTGCAAGTAGATAAATAGGTACCACTCCGGCGGGAAGGTAAATGGCATTTCCGTGCGCTGCTCTGGTTCGCCAGAAGCGGCTTAGTCATGCTGGCCACATGACCCGGAAGCTGTACGCTGGCTCCCTTGGCCAATAAAGCGAGATGAGCGCAGCAACCCCAGAGTCGGTCACGACTGGACCTAATGGTCAGGGGTCCCTTTACCCTTTTTTTATGTGGAAGGAAGAATGGTGAGCTGGAGTCTTCTGGGGGAAAGGACCCCTCCTCACACTTTCTCCACATTTTGACATTTCAGATGACTCCCAAACATTCACGGTGCAAGTGCGACAGGTGGAGGACTACCCTGTGGACATCTACTACCTGATGGACTTGTCCAATTCCATGAAGGATGACCTCCGCAACATCCAGAACTTGGGTACCAGGCTAGCCATAGAAATGCGCAAAGTGACCAGCAACCTGAGGATTGGCTTTGGAGCCTTTGTAGACAAACCCATGCCTCCTTACATGTACATTTCCCCTCCGGAAGCCATCAAAAACCCATGCTATGAGTAAGTTCTCTGAGCGACCCTCTGATAAATGTTCATAATCTAGAGTTTGGAAAGGTTGCCAGTTTTGTGAAGTTATTCCCGTTCCACCTTCGCTTTGAGGCATGGTAGACCTAATGAAGGTCCGCTCTTAACCTCATTTTGAAAATCAGGTGAGCTGGGGGAATGTGTGCTCCCATCCGTAGCTGAGTCAGTAGAGCCATGAGACTCTTAATCTCAGGGTTGTGGTTTTGAGCACCACCTTGGGCAAAAGATTCCTTCATTTGGGCTAGATGTCCCTTCCAGCTCTACAATTCTATGATTTCTAGGATCCCACAGCAAATCAGTCCCTCCTTTGCCTTCACTGCAGTTAAGAGATGCGCCAGCCCCAACGTTAACTGTTGTTAAGGCTAAATACCTGAACCAGCGTCTCCACCGTCCAGCTCCAAGGGCCTTCTGGCAGTTCCCTCACTGCGAGAAGCGAGGTTTCAGGAAACCAGGCAGAGGGCCTTCTCAGTAGTGGCGCCTGCCCTGTGGAACGCCCTCCCATCAGATGTCAAGGAAATAAACAACTATCTGATTTTTATAAGCATAGCTCCCTTTTCTTGCGAGGAATCCTATTCGGAATAAGGGAATTCCCCTTTTAAAAAGGGGAAAGTTGGCAGCTATATTTAGAAGACATCTGAAGGCAGCCATGCTTAGGGAAGTTTCTAATGTGTGGTGTTTTATCGTGTTTTTAATATTCCGTTAGGAACCACCCAGAGTGCTGGGGAGGCCCAGCCAAATGGGCAGGGTATAAGTTTTTTTTTTATTATTATTATTATTATTATTATTACATGCACACTGCTGGGAGTTGGGTTAGGAAGCCTTTGGTATGTGTCTCAGCTCAAGAAAAAGTGACTGAAATGCATAATAAGAGAGCGCCCGCCCCCCCGCCTTGGGATCAATGGCTATGGTAGTTTTAATCAGGCCTCCAGGGCCCTGTTTGCCTGCCCAAAGCGACTTCTTTTTTGCTGCTTCCCTCCAGCTTGAAGCCCCCAGATAACCGCTGCCTGCCAATGTTCGGATACAAGCATGTCCTGGCGCTCACAGATGAGGTAAAGCGTTTCAACGAGGAGGTGAAGAAGCAGAGCGTGTCGAGGAACCGGGATGCGCCGGAAGGCGGGTTCGATGCCATCATCCAAGCGGTCGTCTGTGATGTAAGAGCCCCCCCTTGCCGTGGCTCGAAAGGATTTACTACTACTACTTATTATTATTCAGTTTATATACTGCCCTATACCCGGAGGTGTCAGGGCAGTTCAGAGGAAAGATGACAACATATATAATCAGAATAAAAACAGCAACCCAGTAACACCCCCCCCCAGAAAGAGCCACGTTTTAAAAGGGTATAGGAAGTAAAACAGATCAACCAAAGGCCTGGCTAAAAAGGAACGTATTTGCCTGGCGCCTAAAGGTGTACAGTGGTACCTCAGATTAAGAACTTAATTTGTTCTGGAGGTGTGTTCTTAACCTGAAACTGTTCTTAACCTGAAGCACCACTTTAGCTAATGGGGCCTCCTGCTGCCACTGCGCAGCCGCTGCACGATTTCTCTTCTCTTCCTGAAGCAAAGTTCTTAACCTGAGGTACTATTTCTGGGTTAGAGGAGTCTGTAACCTGAAGCGTATGTAACCCAAGGTACCACTGTGTAATGAAGGCACCAGGTGAGCCTCTCTGGGGAGACCAATCCACAGACGAGGGAGCCACTGCAGAGAAGGCCCTGTTCTTGTGTTGCCACCCTCCGGACCGCTCAAGGAGGATTGAGAACAACTTCTTAGTGGATTGCATATGCCTGATGTTTGTTAGTGTTAGCTGGATCTCCCAACTCAGACAGGAACCCAATATGTATTGAGCTTGCCCTGTATTGACCCCCCCTCCCCCACAATTATTCGGCACCCTGCCTGTGAAGTTAAAGCCCTAAAGCAGGGGTCGGAGTGCTTGCAACATTCATTCAGTGGTAATCTGCCAGTGCAAGGCAGGGCCACGATGAAAGTCGACCGCCTTCTCTTTCTTCTCTGATCCCCTTTCCTTCCTCTTCCTGCTTTTGAAATTAGGATGTGGGTTGGATGGCAGTTGGGCCAAGGGCTGCGGGTTCTCCATCTGGGCTTTAAAGAGATAGCCTAGGCCAACTCCCCAAAGTCTGCGATCTACTGAAAGTATAAAAAGACTGGGTGTGATTTTTTTTAATCGCTAAGGAACGCAATGCCAATTGCTATACAGTGGTACCTTGGGTTACAGATGTTTCAGGTTACAGACTCCGCTAACCCAGAAATATTACCTCGGGTTAAGAACTTTGCTTCAGGATGAGAACAGAAATTGTGCAGCAGCAGCGGCGCAGCAGCAGCTGGAGGCCCCATTAGCTAAAGTGGTGCTTCAGGTTAAGCACAGTTTCAGGTTAAGAACAGACCTCCAGAACGAATTAAGTTCTTAACCCAAGGTACCACTGTACTGCCTTCCACAATCAACCTGGGACACCCCCGAGATCAACCTGTTGGACATCCCTGCCTTAGGCCTGATGTAGAGCTGTGGTTCCCAGTTGGTGGTCTGTGGACCCTAGGAGGTCCATGTAACCCACCTGGGGGGAGGTCTGGGTCACCATTCCCATAACAAAAACTACCATGTTGTTGTTTAGTCATTTAGTCGTGTCCGACTCTTCGTGACCCCATGGACCAGAGCACGCCAGGCACTCCTGTCTTCCACTGCCTCCCACAGTTTGGTCAAACTCATGCTGGTAGCTTCGAGAACACTGTCCAACCATCTCGTCCTCTGTCGTCCCCTTCTCCTTGTGCCCTCCATCTTTCCCAACATCAGGGTCTTTTCCAGGGAGTCTTCTCTTCTCATGAGGTGGCCAGAGTATTGGAGCCTCAGCTTCAGGATCTGTCCTTCCAGTGAGCACTCAGGGCTGATTTCCTTCAGAATGGAGAGGTTTGATCTTCTTGCAGTCCATGGGACTCTCAAGAGTCTCCTCCAGCACCATAATTCAAAAGCATCAGTTCTTCAGCGATCAGCCTTCTTTATGGTCCAGCTCCCAATTCCACACATCACTAAATGTTCAAAAGCAGGGGGTCTGTGGCTTGATTTTTGAAAAACACGGGAACCGCAGTGCTTAACTAATCGGGAACCATTGATGTAGAAGAGTATATTCCTTTGTAGGGCTTGTTTGTGTTTGTGTCTGTCACGATGGAGACTGCAGCGCCATTTTTATTTTGCTTCAGGACAAGATTGGCTGGAGACCAGATGCCTCCCATTTGCTGGTCTTTACTACAGACGCCAAGACGCACATTGCTTTAGATGGGAGACTGGCAGGGATCGTGACGCCCAACGACGGACAGTGCCACATGGGAAGCAACAATTTATATGACGCTTCCACCACATTGGTAAGGCTGGGTGGCTGCAGCCACAAGGCCAGGATTGCAACCGCTACAGGCCATTCTGTTGTGTGATAGATGGTTTCAAAAGGGGATAGTAGGCGAATCCTAGGATATTAGAGTATATATTACCCCCTGAGGACCAGAGACAATGTGCCTTGGAATTCCAATTGCCAGAGAAGTGTATCTGGTTCACCACCATAGGAAATAGGATGTTAGACTATTTAGGCCTTTGGTCTGATTCAGGAGGGCTGCTCTTAAGGTTCAGAATATATTTTGCATTCCATTTTTATATTTTCAGTTTTTTGGTGAGGTAAAACCCCAGAGGCCAAAAGACCACCTGTATAAGAGCTTTGATATCTGTGTCATTTCAACCCATCATCTGGGTTCCATTTCTTTTTCTCCCTTTTTAAATAATTTTTTTAATTAGGTTTTTTGAAAGAAATTTTTATACATATAAAACATAGCATTTTCAAATATTAAAATACAGAGTTCTTTCAAATCCTTATACTTCCCTCCCTCCATGGGTTCCTTCTTTAAGATTAAATTTACTGCATCTTTTACCTTTATCTAACTATTATATAACCATATTTATCATTAAAGCAATTCCACATTAAAAGTGTACTATTTCTTGGTTACACTACATGTAACAGCATGTGAGAAAGAGAGGGAGAGGCAATAGATAGGTAGGCAGGAAATAAATAGATAAGATTTGTGATGGCACTAACTTTGTTATGATGGTCACATCTTCTATTTTAACTGGCCATTGTTAGACACCTTCTCGTCCAGAGTTGTCCAAAATGCCTTTTCTGATGACCCTCAGAAACATTCAAGGAAAAAAAAGTCGTAAAGCCTTAAAATTTTATTTTTTGTGTCATGTGTTGTGAACATGCATCTGTTTGTTTATAAAATTGTTTAATCATTAAATCTATTAATTGTGTATTTATTTACATATAATTATAAATAATTCTGTATCTTAAATAACTTTAAATATTTTGAAAACACTTTAATTTACGATATGGAAATTTAGTTCAGCGTATGGCCCTTCGGTTCTGTGCTGAAGTACTCTTGCTTGCAGCTCACTTGGTATGAAAAGTTGGACTGTCCTTCCTATCCTAGTCCTTTGAGGAGGGAAATAGGATGGAAATGTGTTTATCCTGTTCCCCTCACATCAGACACAAGTGGATTTTCTGTTCTCCAACTTTCTCTCCCCTCCCCCGCCAAGGATTATCCGTCCCTCGGCTTGATGACAGACAAACTCTCCCAGAAAAACATCAACTTGATTTTTGCCGTGACACAGGCCATTGTGGATCTCTACCGAGTAAGTAGACCCTTTGAAGCTACAATTTCCTCCAGAACATTGGAGTGGCGGGTGGGGCTTGAACAAGGCTGTCCAAATGCTAAAATATCAGCTTGGGTGTTAACCTTTTAGATTGTCGAAGGTGGAGCAAACAAAAGCTCTTATCGGCCTAAATATTAGCAGAATTTACTGGAAACCCTCCACTTCTGTTATGTACTGAGTTGAATAGGATCCAAAATGCAGCAGTCTGATTGGTCCTAGAACAATAGGATTCGGAATGCCGCAGTCTGATTGGTCCTAGAACAATGCAGCAGTATGACTGGTCCGCAGGAGCCACCCAATCCAGCTCCAGGTGGAAGTGAATCCGCAACCTGATTGGCCTACAGGAGAATCCCGGAATTAGCCAATCACGTGCAGCCCATTGTGTAAATAATGTATATAAAGCAGCTATTTTGGGGGAACTTTCATTCCTCGCTACTATGAGCTGAATAAAGAGCATGAAATCCACACTCGACTCCGAGTATATTTCAACTTTTTTATTTTCAGAACTACAGTGAGCTGATCCCTGGCACTACTGTAGGGACCCTGTCAGCCGACTCCAGCAATGTTTTGCAGCTCATTGTGGATTCCTATGAGGTGAGTCCGTAGACCTGTGATATGCAGAAGCAAGGCTGATCCAGGCAAAATGGGCAACAGCCAGAGGTGCCTGATTTCCAGGGGCACAGCTAAGCCAACTGTGTTGTGTAATACTGGCAACACCTGTGTGTTTGGATGAGGTGCACAGGGTTCGCTTAGCAGCTCATTGGCTGAGCGAGGTCCCTAAATTCCAGGAGACATGATCCGGAGGTTTCTGATCTTCATTGCCTGCTGCGCATAGTTGTAAAGTTGTAAAAGCGGAGGAAACACAGACGTTAAAATTGAAATAGTAACCCAGCTGTGACTCTATTGTTACTCTGTTCAGGAGGGCAGGTTTTAATTCACTTCCCAGTTGCAAATTGCACGAAGGGTGTTGCGTCTATTTTGGGCTTTCTGAGCTTTTCTCTAAGGCATCTTAGCTTTCCACACTCAGAGAGATATTATCATGGGGTTGCAGAAGAGGGATGTGGACTTTGAAGCATGCCCCACCCCCAGGTTTTTTTTAAAAAAATAATTTATTATATTTTGTATACCACCCTTCAACTGTAGATACCAGGGCAATCTGAACTACTGCAAACTGGTGTCTCCTGGTGTAAGTGATGCATTAATATTGCTTCCACTCCAGCAGTTTGGTCTGGAAATGCTATCCTTTGTTTATTCTGTTTTTATGGAGCCATCTGGATAACCTCCTTAAAGTATAGTTGCATTCTAGAATTGACTGTGTTTCCTCCCACGTTTTCTTTTCTCATAACTTATCTGAAGCAGTATTTAATTAGAAGCTTCCTGCTTGACAGTTCTGCCCCCCTTTTGCTACTTCCTGCTAAGCAGAGTCTAAGGGTTCCAAGGGGTTGCTCGAGAGCAAGCAGGCAAATGACTCCCTGCTCGGCTGTGAAGCCTGGCTTTTGATACGAAAATAAACTTTATCTGTTCAGAGCGCCACTCTCCCGTGGCTGGCTCATTCACTGGCAGAATCCGTGAGTGGGCGGTCCTTAAACCTTCCCCAGCAAAGTAGTTTCTTGACGCCCAGTCTGCGCCTCCCCTCTTACTGCGCAAGGAGGGCATGGGTAATGGAGGACCTCTCTCCTCCCCGCTCTGCCCAGGCAAGGTGTCCTGGCACCGCCTCACCTCGTCGGAGCCCTGAAGCTCCTCTCCACTGGAGGCGTGGTTACTCTCCTCCGCTGAGGAGGAGCTGCTTTCCACGATCTTTGGGGGCTCTCTGTAATCCATCCGGCTTTTCCCCTCTCCCCCCTAAGCCGATGGCAGTTCCCTGACACAGAGCAACAGGATCACTGCTGAATAACATGTATGCCTGTGTGTGTGTCCACATATAAAAAACAGCTCACGTTCCAGGCTGAAAGCCCCTCTGGCATAGCAGGGGGTGGTCAGTGTCCTTTGTTGTTTTTCTGTGAGGTTTGAAAGGGGTTCCTTCTCTAGGCTGGCTGGAGCCCTAAACCTATTTCAGGTGTTTGGGGCCTGCAACAAAATGTTGCAGTGCGTTCTCTTTGTATGCCCTACCTTTGAAGGTATAGTGTGACATTTCTCAAGGTGACACACTTTACTGAATCCACTGCATTACCTTGAATCATCCACACTCTGGATTGACTTTAGAGGAGTGAATTAATTAATAAAACTCCAGGCTGTAGCCAATGCTAGTCATGCTCAGGGCAGAGCCACTCAATTTAATGGACAGGACTAACAGGCTCATTAATTTCAGTGGCTTTATTCTGAATACAACCAGCACTGTATACAACCCGAAATACTGTTTTCCAGGCCTGCTCCATTTTTACGGTCTATAATTGTGTTTTAGTGTTCTGATTCAGCTCTACGGCGCCCTCTGGCATTAGTGTTATAACGCATTTATAACGGTTTATTTTTACTAATGTAGCTGAGTCCTCAGACATTCCCCCTGTTCCTCTTTCAGAAAATTCGTTCCAAGATTGAACTAGAAGTTCGCAATCTGCCGGATGAATTGTCCCTCTCTTTCAATGCCACCTGCCTGAACAACGAAGTCATTCCTGGAGTTAAGTCCTGCGTTGGCCTTAAGATTGGAGACACGGTGAGTAAGAACTGCAAGGGGCTGGGGGAGGAGGACCACTTCTCCATGTCTCTCATTCAAAGGGAATCCAAACCTCCACCAGCAGTCTTAAGAAGGTTCACAGCAAAGAAGCAGAGGCCAAGAGGAAAGTGTCAGCAGAATGTGCAAGTAATCTTTCTGCCTTCATCATAAACCTTTTGTGTAGCGGGTGGTTTTTTTTTATGGGTTAAAATATGGGAGGCAGAGGACCTCAAAAGTTAAAAAGTAAGGGACCATGTGTCTGCACGTTTGTATTCAGTAGCATCGAGCACCCCTTTCCCTTGGGACGTGGGTGGCGCTGTGGTCTAAACCACTGAGCCTCTTGGGCTTGCCAGTCAGAAGGTCAGTGGTTTGAATCCCTGCGACGGGGTGAGCTCCCGTCGCTCTGTCCCAGCTCCTGCCAACCTAGCAGTTTGAAAGCACGTCAGTATAAGTAGATAAATAGGTACCGCTGTAGCGGGAAGGTAAACAGTGTTTCCAAGCACTCTGGGTTTCTGTCACGGTGTCCCGTTGCACCAGAAGCGGTTTAGTCCTGCTGGCCACATTACCTGGAAAGCTGCCTGTGGACAAACACCAGCTCCCTCAGCCTGAAAGCGAGATGAGCGCCGCAACCCCAAAGTCGCCTTTGACTGGACTTAACCGTCCTGGGGTCCTATACCTTTTTTTTTTACCCCTTTCCCCTGCTAAAATGATCTGATTTACTACACTCCCTTCCCTAAGACTAAAAACAGACATGTCCTCAGCCACTCTCCATCCACTAAGGTGAATCACCATGTTTGCCACTGCTGCAAAAAGAACAAGAGGTTATATACAGAATTGCCTATTGGATGCAAAAAACAAAAACAAAACCCAGCTCCCCCTGTATAATGATACTCTTTGTTCAGTAATAGGAGAGAATTTAAATCAGTTTCATGAAATGGCACTTAACAGAACTCTTAGAAATAGAAGCACTTGAACAGAAATTCCTGTGAATTTCCTGAAAAGGTGACTGCGTCTTCCCGTGTCACGCAGTCCATGGAAACTGCTCCAAGCGCGAGGGTGTTTGCCCTATACTGCGATTTCTAAGAGCTGCGTTAAGTGGAGAGACATGGTCTCTCTCCCCCCCCCCCATAAATGGACTGAGATTCTGCCCAGTTACTGAGCAAGAGAATGTCATCACAACTCATTGCAACATTGCGAATGGGCAGCTTTGGTACGAATTGGGCGATTCCACTTCCAGGCTGTGAGAGATGGGTTATTAAAAGCGCAAAATGCGAACGGTTGGTGTTTTTTAAAGGTGTTTCCTTGAGGAAGGATGTGAGGGCAGTTCCGGATGTCTTGCTCTTTCCAGGTGAGCTTCAGCATTGAAGCAAAGGTGCGTGGCTGCCCCACGGAACCGCAGAAGACTTTCACCATCAAGCCGGTGGGTTTTGAGGACAGCCTGACTGTGCAGGTGAACTTCGACTGCGACTGCCGTTGCCAAAAGTTTGCCAAGCCGGACAGCGATATCTGCAGCAACGGCAATGGCACCTTTGAATGCGGCATGTGCCGCTGCCACCCGGGCCGCCTGGGCACCCAGTGCGAGTGCTCCGAGGAGGAATACAGCCCCTCGCAGCAGGATAACTGCAGCCCCCGCCAGGGGCAGCCTGCTTGCAACCAGCGGGGAGAATGTATCTGCGGCCAGTGCGTCTGCTACAGCAGTGACTTCGGCAAGATCTCCGGCAAGTACTGTGAATGCGATGACTTCTCCTGTGTCCGGTTCAAGGGCGAGCTGTGCTCTGGTAAGTGGGGAAATGTCCGGGGGTGGGGGGCTTGGAACTGGGCTTTCGAGAACTTGGTGCAATTTGAAACGAAAGGACTCATGGTGCGTGGCATTCGTCCCCTTCTCTGATCAAGCAGACTCATGGAAGTTGTAGCCCAAAACATCTGGCTGCTTGGGTGGGGGGCTGTTGGTGCACCGTAGGAATGGATGGCGCTCTCAAACACTGCCGGCTCGCTCTCAAAATTTTTGTGTCTAGCCGGAAAGGTTTGGTTTCCTCCTCTGATTTCATGGGGGAAGCTTTGCGTGTCAAGACCCCGCAGCCACCCCCTCGTTGGAAATAACTCACACAAGGACACAGATATTAGGTCTATGTTATTGGGCAAATTTTGGCCACAACTTTATTGAATTACAGAATGTGAGTGGTATTGGCTCAGGCATTGATTGCCCATATCTGACTCCTGCCCATTGTGCAGGAAGTCCAGTTAGGGTAAGCCACCGGTAGGGGGAGCCCTGTCGGTGCAGACCAACTCGAGCTCTGCCTGGTGTTCCCGTCGGGGTCGTTTCAAAGCCCTAGCCCCCAGCCGGGCTTCGGAGTTTTCTGGCTCACTCCTCGGTTTAAACGGCCCCGGCCACGCCCTCCCGGCCAGCAGATTGGCTGGCTGGGCTCTGACATGGCCTGGATCCCCCTGGCAATGGGGAACAAAATCCCCCGCCCCCGGTGGGGAGTGGGTGGCCATGCGGTCCACCGCAACTCCTCCCCACTGGGAAGTGGAACGGATCTGTGCCCAATTGCAATGTCCCACCTTTGAATCAATCCAAGATTATGTTGCGGAAAGGGCAGTACCTTTTTAAAGGCATGTACAGAGGTGTAGCATTGGGGGGGCAGGGGGCGGGACAGGGAGCCCATGGCCCCAGGCACACATTTTTGAGGGGGCACAATCAGACTCCCCCACAACAGGCCAGAGGCAGGTTGGTCTAGTGGTCAGGTGGATGGAGGCAGCAGGTGAGGGGCCTGTTGGACGTGGGCTCTGTTCACCCTCCATGTGGGCTCCACACAGCCGCCCCCCGGCGTGTGCCCCCACCCCAGCTCCCCAGTCCATCGGGTGTGGGGGGGAAACCACACTTGCTCCACCTCGGGTACCGGCAACCCATGCTATGTCACTGGGCATGTGCCCTGGTTCCTTTTCCTTCAGAGAATAATTATCAATTTTTATCAACATGCATCCAACAGTCAATGGTTTTTTTTTTAAAGCAAAGAGGTTTGTAGCTTTGGGCACACATCACAAGCGCAGTGCCAACTGAAGTCTTTCTAACAATAATCAATGCATAGAACCAGCCAGCGCTGGACAGAAATAAAGGTGTTCCTGAGGAATAGCACTTCCCTTCCTAAGTGGTGTATCTGTTAGTCCTTGGCTCCTTTCCTTTAGGACGAGGCCCCAAATGGCAAAGATTTAATTGTAGCTGAGCTTTGATGTAGGAAAAGTACTCACATACTTACTCTGCGAGGTCTGCCAGAAATCAGTTTCTTGCTGATCTATGCTAAGCAGATTACCCTGTCCAAGAGAGTTATTTGGGATACGGGAGGAAAAAAAAGGGGGAAACATGGGGTTTGGATCTTGGAGGATTAAGAAATAAGTGCACTTTTGGCCTCACTTCTGAAAGGGGACCTGGAAGCTCCTGGCTGAAAGATAGTTCATACAGATAGATAGATAGATAGATAGATAGATAGATAGATAGATAGATAGATAGATAGATAGATAGATGATAGATAGATGATAGATAGATGATAGATAGATAGATAGATAATAGATAGATAGATAGATGATAGATAGATAGATATAGATGATAGATAGATAGATAGATAGATAGATAGATGATAGATAGATAGATAGATGATAGACAGATAGATAGATAGATAGATAGAGATAGAGATTGATAGATATAGATTGATAGATATAGATTGATAGATATAGATTGATAGATATAGATGGATAGATATAGATGATAGATGATAGATGATAGATAGATAGATAGATAGATAGATAGATAGATAGATAGATAGATAGATAGATAGATAGATAGATAGATAGATAGATAGATGATAGATAGATAGATAGATAGATAGATGATAGATAGATGATAGATAGATAGATAGATAGATAGATAGATAGATAGATATAGATAGATACCGAAAGATACATAGATACTGAAAGATAGATCATAATGACCTTTGAGGACTTTGTTTTAGCTATACATAGTAGTTTTAATTCTGTTAACGTTTAATTGGTTTTTATTATTTTTCCTATGTTAGCTGTTTCCATTTCTATCTGTAAGCCACCTTGAGTGTTCACATCAGGGACAAAGGCGGGATATAAGTAATTACTATAATAACTATATATACATAGGCAACAGAAACACACACATACAGAACCTTTTGTATTTTGCCATAGGAGGTAGGATTCAAAAAGTAATAACATTTTTATTCAAGCATTTGGTGTTCACACGATAGCAAGCTCGTGGGTTACACAAAACTCTTATTCAGGCAGGAACTGAATTTGTTTACCTCCTCAAATATGATTTCTGTGCAAGTGGAAACCTTGATGTTGAAAGGGAGGGTGCCAGTTCAGCAGTGCTTCCTGGTCTGTGCTTGTAATTTATGACTTCTTGATCCAGACTTTGATTATGTCTGCTTCCCTGAAGGAGGAAAGGGCTGCTTGGGTGTGCCTTTCTTTTTAGTTACAGGATTCAGGGTGGCTCCGTGGGTGACTCAATGTGATAAGGACTGGTGGGGAAAGGGGCAACTGTTGTGGTTGTGTGAGCTGGGAGAATCACCCTTGCTCCTTGCACAGAGCAGCAGCGCATTCCGTTCCGTATGAGTTTCTGTGTGTGTTGTGAAATACAACAAACATTGTGCAATGCGGCCGTTTGAGATGTTTACAGCCCATTGATAAAGCAGGCATGCCATTCATTGCGTAAGCCGCTGTGATTCTTTTAGGAGAATACTGACCTTTGATACTCCATTCAGAGGATATCGTAGTAGAAACAAGATGCTCACATAAAGCATGGTTTGGCCCTGAATCCACCACTGAATTGGGAGATAATGTAGCCAAACCTTCTCTTGCCCATCCCTAAAAGACTGAGAGGAAACGAGAGGTGGGAAGCCACAGCAGCCTTGAATCTCACTTGGAGATGAGTGAATCTGTCAGTGTTGGTTTTCCCTCGGTTTCCCATTTTTCCAATCTTCAGTTCTCCACATTTCCAGGTTAGGTCTGTGATTAAAATAAAAAGTACCCATGAAAATTCATCAGCATTTTAGTGTGAATTTCTCCTCTGATATACACTTTCCATACGCAGTTTTGCCTCATCCACACACTTCCGCAAAGCCGTTTTCCCTAAGGCAACACATTTTTGTAGGTTGCGTTCGCTAATTTATGCATTGCCATGCACACGTCGTTGCAGTACATGCATGTTCTCGGTTGTAAAACTGAGAGAATTTTGAAGACTTGGCTGTGTTTCAGTTCATGTATGGTTTTCAAAAAGAGTGACTTGTCCCAAGCTCATTTCTAAATGTGAACTGAATTGAATTCCCCCAATCCCTTCTTCTTCTTTGGCGATCCCTCGTAGCCGAATAAGATTGTCTTCCATAAACACGGTTTTAACAATAAGTCCGTAAGTGACTGTGGAGGCCAATTCTGGATCCACACGTCCTTCCACAGTGGGGACATAGGTTTCCAGGTGGGAGTTGATCTTGGTGTGGATTTGCCAAGCGTTCCTTCCTCTTAGCACGTTTCTCCCTTGCGTTCTGAGTTTGAGTGTCTTCAAAGCCCTTGACACCTTTGTTGTTGGCTGATCTCCAATTGGAGCGCTCACAGGCCAGTGTTTCCCAGTTGTCGGTGTTTATACTACATTTTTTTTAGATTTGCCTCGAGAGAGTCTTTAAACCTCTTTTGTTGACCCACCAGCATTACGCTTTCCATTTTTAAGTTCGGAATAGAGTAGTTGCTTTGGAAGACAATAATCAGGCATTTGCACAACATGACTAGTCCAACGAAGTTGATGTTGAAGAATCATTGCTTCAACACTGGTGATCTTTGCTTCGTCCAGTATACTGATATTAATTCGCTTGTATTCCCAAGTGATGTGCAAGATTTTTTGGAGACACCGTTGATGGAATCTTTTGAGAAGCCCGTTGCCATAGAACAGGCATGTCCAACCGGTCAATCGCGGGGCATCCCTGGTCGATCGTGTGATCCTGACTGATCAACCCCTCCCCCCCAATAAAATCTCAACAACTTTGGGCCTTCCTCCCCAGAAAAAGCTCAACAACTTTGGTCAATCCAATGGGTAAGATCACTGCCAGTTTTTTATAGTGGGAGTTGATCGCAGTCTCTTGGGAGTTGGACATGCCTGCCATAGAGCACCCTCAGGCATCAACATGGCAGCACTCACAGAGGGAGAGGAAAATACCCATTTCCCCCAGAGGCATTTTCTGACGGCGTGCTGCAGTGCCGCATGACAGGCAAAGGTGTCAGGAGTGCGTACAGGAGCCAGGCCCTGTGACCAGTAGGACTCTGCAGGACTGGGGCCTTCCTAAGTTTCTTCTGGAGAGGCAAGGCGCGGCCGCACAGGTAAGGCCACTTGGTAACTCACTGCACCTGGTGGCAAGAGCCGTTAAGGGATATAAGGTCAGCATTTCCCTTCAGCTCTTTGCCACAGCAACACGTTCCCTGCCTTGCTGCGTTTGGCTCCTTGCTTCCTGATCCTCGGACCTCGGCTCCTTGACTCCTTGCTTCTCGACCCTCGGACCCTTGACTTCGTGACTCCCTGCTTCCTGACCCTCGGACCCCTGGCTTCTGGACTCTCGTTCCTGCTGCCATCTGCCCCCGGTCCTGACATCCTCAGCTGGGACTTCAATTGCCCGTAGTCTGGACTGTGACAAAAGGAAGCTGCCATCAGGTTGAGCACACAAATCGGGTCACAAATTTCAACATTTCTAGAATGGGAAATGTGGGTGCTGAACATGGTTGCTCCCACTTCTTAACCGACCTTGTTCCTGTACCGCTGACCAGTGGCACACCTCGGGGGTCTCAAATTTCAGTGGACACCTAAAACTAGCACCCCCTGCCTCTCGTCTTCCATTCTACATCATAGTTGTGATGCCCCACCTTTCGCGCCCCTGAGGCTCTGCACCCAGTGCGACCAAACCGGCCCCACTCCCCTGAATTTGCCTCTGCTTTCACAGTAGCCTGATGCCCAGAAATGAAGAAGGTGGCGATTTTCCTAGCATGGGAATAGGGTTTTTATAAAACACAGTCATCACATGCATTTATTTGTGCCTCGAGGCTGCAGTTAAGGCGTTGGAGCGAGACTGGTTTTTGTTAATTATTTTTAAAAGGTGCACAGACCTAACCCAGGGAAGTGGGTTTTGGCATGTAAACGTGAAAACCAGATAGATTTGCTACGGCTCCCAATTCCTTTTCTGTTCTTGTTGTTCTTTCCTCCACAAGCCTCGTCCTCCTCAGCAACTTTTGACTGGGTCATTGTCTCCCGGTTCATTCCATCGGAGTAATTAATTCTAAAGCGAGTGACAAACACGCACTGCCTGTTCTCTCAGTCGGCATGTGCTTTCCCCAGTGTCACTAGAGACTCCCCCTCCCAAACCAGCTGCTCCTTCTCTCCCACCCCCCACCAGCCCAGCCGTGATTCACTTGAGTTTCTCATTAACCAGTCTTCTTCATAGTTAGCAGAGAGTCTGCAGGTTGCCACCCACCCACTGTCCCGGGAGTGCGTGGGCAGAGCTGGGCACCTCAGAGAAAACATTTCCTCCGAATATTTCCACAGCAGCCTTTCGTGGGGGCTCCAGATTGGAGCGTGCGCCGCCCACACAACTAATGGTCTAACTGCATCAGTGGTTTAGCAAGGTCAGCACCTACTTGGGTGGGAATTAAATGTAAGCACAGGCCTTGGTGCCTGGCAACTGTGAGGTAAATTATTAAGAGTATACCCTCTGCTGCCTTGGCCCTTCCCCAACCCAGGGAGAATGTCTGTGCCAGCTGATACTTTTTTTTTTAAAAAAAAAATAACTTTATTGAATAATACAATTAAATTTCCAGACATATCTGCCAAAACACAATCATTTACATATTTGCCAACATAAACTGTAGAAGAAAATAAAAAGTAAGAAGAAATGAAAAAAGAAGAAAGAAAAAGAAAAAGAAGAGGAAAAGAAAGAAAATGCTGTTTTCCACAAACAGTAATTCCAGAATTACACTAACACATGTTATAAAATACAAATCTTGATTAAAATATCTTAAAAGACTTCCACCACCTAAACCACACTTCTTTTGGTGGCAGTAGAGCAATAAGAACGGCAATGAGGGCATTTGAGCCAGTAAGCGCCACCGCCACCCTACCCACCCCCTGGGACACAACACTGCTGCCTGTGTTGGTTAGCCTGGTCCCCAGCCCTGCCAGTGAGCCCTCTGACGTTGGGATGTTGCCAGTTAAGCCAAGCAGACTATAGCAGCAGTAGTTAGGGATGTTGGGTAATTCATACACATACTTTCAAGCATGTATTTGCAGTAACTTTTGGAGAAAGGGCATTATTATTATTATTATTATTATTATTATTATTATTATTTATTTCTATACTGCCCTTCGTCTGAGAATCACTTGGTGGTTTTACAATATAAGTGGAAGCTGAATTCTGAGTCTGTGGCCACATCCTGCACTTTTCATGTGCTGCGTCAGAATTGTAGCAGCTCCGATTCTTACCTCTGTATCGCAGGCGAGGGTGTCAAAAGAAATTTTGCAGACAGTCCTCATAAACCATTTTTGCTCTGTCCCAATGAATGAATGGATGAATCCTTATTTGCGTCAGCCATCGGCCATAGCAATAAAACAACAACAATACGATGTAGAAACAATAGAAATAAAAAGTCAATTCCATAAATACATTTTTGGGTTTTGAAGCAAGAGTCAAATAGTGGATCGCTTCTTGGCCTTTTGGCTAAGATCAAGTGTAGTATCTGCTCTGTCTTAATGTGCACTCTGCTTCGATAGGTATGGGGTTTTTGCTTTTTGTTTTGGTTGGGGAGAAAGAGGGGTGAGAGTCGGTAACTTGAATGCTAAAACTGTCCCCTTGCAGCACACACGTTGTGCTCTCTGGTAAAGGCCTCCTGTGCCCCACCCCTCCTGTTTAATTTGGACTCCAGTACTGGAACATAAGGGATGCGGGTGGCGCTGTGGGTTAAACCACAGAGCATAGGACTTGCCGATCATAGGTCGCGATTCGAATCCCCACGATGGGGTGAGCTCCCGTTGCTCAGTCCCTGCTCCTGCCAACCTAGCAGTTCAGAAGCACATCAAATTGCAAATAGATAAATAGGTACTGCTCTGGCGGGAAGGTAAACGGCGTTTCCGTGCGCTGCTCTGGTTCGCCAGAAGCAGCTTAGTCATGCTGGCCGCATGACCCGGAAGCTGTACACCGGCTCCCTCGGCCAATAAAGCAAGATGAGCACCGCAACCCCAGAGTCAGCCACGACTGGACCTAATGGTCAGGGGTCCCGTTACCTTTACCTTTTTACTGGAACATAAGTCGCATTGTGATTTGCCCGCAGGTCATGGAGAATGCGTCTGTGGCGACTGCGCGTGCGACCCTGACTGGACGGGAGCCTACTGCAACTGCACCACCCGGACTGACACCTGTATGTCTAGCAACGGGCTGGTATGCAGCGGACAAGGCCGCGGCTACTGTGCCTGCGGGAAATGCGTCTGCACCCAGCCTGGCTCTTACGGAGATACCTGTGAGAAGTGCCCAACCTGCCCTGATGCCTGCACTATCAAGAAGTGAGCAAGAGGGAGCTGTGATTGTGTGTGTGTGTGTGTGTGTGTGTGTGTATGTGTGCGCCAGTTGTCTGTCGTTTCTCAAAGCAACACAAAATCATTAAAGTAAACATCATAGCAGGAGGAAACCTGCTACAGACATGTAGAATATTAGGATGCAAGGTTGCATTATTAACTCTGATGATGATGATGATGATGATGATAAATAAATAAATAAATAAATAATTTTATTATTTATACCCCGCCCACCTGGTTGGGTTTCCTCAGCCACTCTGGGCGGCTCCCAACCGAATATTAAAAACACAATACAGCATTAAACGTTTAAAACTTCCCTGCAGTGGTACCTTGGGTTACAGACACTTCAGGTTACAAACGCTTCAGGTTACAGACTCCGCTAACCCAGAAATAGTACCTCGGGTTAAGAACTTTGCTTCAGGATGAGAACAGAAATCGTGTGGCGGTGATGCTGCGGCAGCAGGAAGCACCATTAGCTAAAGTGGTGCTTCAGGTTAAGAACAGTTACAGGTTAAGAACGGACCTCCAGAACGAATTAAGTTCTTAACCCGAGGTACCACTTTATTTGCTATGCCGCTCAATTTGAACGGGCCTTCGCTGGAACAGCAAAGTACAAGTTTCAGGAAGACCAAAATTCTAATAAGGAATGGGGAAAATTTATAACTTAAAGGCCATTGTAAACAGTTAAATTTGTTAGTAGGATTGGAACAGCACTTGTAGTTTAAGGTTGATGCTGGACATAATGGGAAGAGGTTAAAGGGTTTGGATTATCATAAAAGATGAGGGAGGAACTGATTAATAATAGGACCCACATAGGGGAGGACGGAAGTCCAGGAGATTCATTGGAATCTTGTTTTTTTATGATTTCTGTTTGATACATCTCTGTAAAATTTTAAGTTGAAAAATCAAATAAATTAACTTTAAAAACAACAACAACAAAGTACAGTCATACCCTGGAAGTCAAACAGCTTAGTTCTCGAATGTTTTGGCTCCCGAACGCCGCAAACCTGAAGTGAGTGTTCCAGTTTTCAAACATTCTTTTGGAAGCTGAACGTCTGACGGGGCTTCCACAGCTTCCAATTGGCTGCAGGAGCTGTGCTTTGGTTTCTGAACTTTTTGGAAGTCAAATGGACTTCCGGAACAGATTCTGTTCAACTTCCAAGTTTGAAAAGTTGACCAAAAAAAGAAGGGAGCAAGGGGCATGTAAAAGCTTTAATCAACCCTTCGTTCTTACTCACTCATCCTGAGATTTCATTCCTTCTCATGAATACCCTGAGAAGCAGCCTAAAGCCCTGAAATATTATTCATAATTACTATTTATAAATTCTTACATTTTTCTAAGCACTGTGCAAATACTCCATTTTCTAATCAAGTCTGTGGCTGCAGGCCTAACAGTCTAGCCAATATGACACAGGAGGGATGGGGAGGGAGCAAGAAACGAGCTAACTTGGGCACTGGTTGTTAAAGTTGCATCGCAGTTCTTCTGATGACTGGCTGAAAAAAGGAGACAGTTCAGGGAGGAGCCCAATGAATGGGGAACGTGTTCCACTCTCCCCCCCCCCCTGCTGCAGTCGGGTAGGACTGCGGCTAACAGAGTGATGTTTCAGGAAGAGCTAAAGGGCAGCTGGGCGAGGCGGATGGAGTGGGCTGTACTGTCTTACTCCTCTGTCAGAAGCAGCCACCAGGTCAAACCCCTGAGACATGGTGACCCCTAAAGGTGTGGCGTACTCTGGGAGGAAGGACACATGCCTTGGTTAGGTGGGAGACTGGGGGAGTGGGGTGCCAGAGATCCTGCTGAAATCCTAATGCGGTCGTACCTTGGAAGTCAAATGGAATCCGTTCCAGAAGTCCGTTCGACTTCCAAAATGTTTAGAAACCAGTATACCTGAAGGAGCGTCTCCACCTCCATCGTTCTGCCCGGACACTGAGGTCCAGCACGGAGGACCTTCTGGCGGTTCCCTCTCTACGAGAAGTGAGGTTACAGGGAACCAGGCAGAGGGCCTTCTTGGTACTAGCACCACCCTGTGGAACGCCCTCCCATCAGATGTCAAAGAGAAAAATAACTGCCAAACTTTTAGAAGACATCTGAAGTCAGCCCTGTTTAGGGAAGCTTTTAATGTTTCATAGGTTATTGTATTTTAGTGTTCTGCTGGAAGCTGCCCAGAGTGGCTGGGGAAACCCAGCCAGATGGGCGGGGTATAAATAATAAATTATTATTATTATCATCATCATCATTAGTAAAGCGCAGCTTCTGATTGGCTGCAGGAAGGTCCTGCAGCCAATCAGAAGCCATGGAACCTGCGTTGGATTTTCGGCTTCCAAAAGAACGTTTGACAACCGGAACACTCCCGGGTTTCGGTCCTTCTGGAGCCGATTTGTTCGGGAGCCAAGGCGTTTGAGATCCAAGATACAACTGTATAGCCTCTGTTTTTGCAGACATAGGATCTGGAGTCAGTATCCCTCGGCCTGCTTCATTATTCTCACTGTACCTGCTCCTTCCTCTCTTACGCAGGGAGTGCGTGGAATGCAAGAAGTTCGAGAGGGGGACCCTGATGGAGCAAGAGACCTGCAACCGCAACTGCCGGGATGAGATTGAATTGGTGCAGGAGCTAGGTGTGTAAGAAACATGGGGCTCTCTGCATGACCAAGAGACCTGCCTCAGGAAGGGATGGCAACTGTGCCAGTTCTTTCTTGTGTGATTAACAGCCACCCAAACCCAACACCATTCTTCCTCTCGTACTTTAGCTGCCGGCCATCTTTTCTTTTAGCAGACGCTTTGGGATGACAGGAAGAATAACTTCTGCGTGCATTGTGTACGTGACAAGAGGCGGAAATGAATGGCCTCTAATCTCATTTAAAAGAAAACGGGCAAATGCTACATATTTCATGCACAAAAACCTAGGGAGCACCAACGATACCAAACAGGTACCTTAAGAGGTATCCGCTGCCTTGCAGGACATCTTTGGGACAAGAAAGGGATAAGAGTAAACTCTGCACAAATCCAGAGTGGAGTCCCTAAGACGGTTGGATGGCTTCTTGTACGCCTCCTTCCGGCAACTCCTGCAGCCAAGCTGGTGCCAAATGTATTTCTCTGCTTTCCTTTGGACCACATCAGTGAGGCTGAGAGGGGGTCTTTGCTAGAGATGGGAAGGTCTGGGGGGAAACTGGAAAAATGGAGGGAATACCAGGTTTTTTTCGGTTTTTTTCCAAAGCCGTTTCCCCCCCCCCCAGAAAAGAAATGGGGAGGGGGGACAGTTTGCTATAGTTTGAGTATTCCACACACACACACACACACGCCCACACACACCCCAACCCCATTTTTCTGGGGGAAAAACAGCTTCGGGGGGAAACGAGGACGACGACTGATTCCCCCCCTCCCCATTTTTTGGGTTTTCCCCCCAGGTCTTCCCTTCTCTAGGACTCTTGGCCCAGGACCTCCATAGGCACCACCAGGCTTGTGCCATGGAAAGCTCCATTGTCTCTCTCTTGAGAGGCAGGTGCCAAGAACCTTAAGAGGACTCCAGCCAGAACACCTCAGACTCCATTGGTTTATGGCAATTTCCTCCAAACATGGGTCCCCAGGTGGTGTTGGACTACAATTCCCATCATTCCCAACCAGTATGGCCAATAGGGATGATGGGGCTTGTAGTCCAACAACAGCCAGTTAGGTGCAATGATCGGGGAAGACTATGGTCTATGGGATGCAACATCTCAACAGGTCCACCACCTCCATGGAGTTGAATGATGGCTACAAATCTAAATCTCATCAGGAAGTGGCCTGACTGCGACAAGAGTGTTAGGATGAATTGCATAGATAGCTCAGTTGGTTAGAGCATGGTGCTGATAATGCCAAGGTTTGCAGGTTTGATCCTCGTATGGGACGGCTGGGTATTCCTCCATTGCAACTCTGATTCTATGAATTCCCTGACATCTAGAGTACATCTAGAGCTCAGAATACCTGACCCAGAGTGTGGCCTGCCACATGTATTGCGTGGAGTGGTCCAAAAAAATCTGGAGGGCATCATGTTGGGAAAGGCTGATCCCTGTATCTAGAGCCCTACACCAGCTACAAACATTCAACTAGACTAGAATAGGAGATGGAATTCATGTGGAGTACAGCAGCCTCCTCCCATGAGCCCTGAGACGATGTTGGCAATGAATCAAGGACCCAGGCTTACAGATTCAAATCAGCTTATGAGTATTTGAGTAGGAGCACTTGCTTTTTGTGTGCTCCCAATTTGAATGCTTGTGACACCCCTAGTCCTCTTTCTGAACTTCCCAAGGACAACTGTTGGGCCAACTCCTGAAAGTGAGGGACGCGGGTGGTGCTGTGGTCTAAACCACTGAGCCACTTGGGGTTGCCGATCAGAAGGTTGGTGGTTTGAATCTCTGTGATAGAGTGAGCTCCCGTTGCTCTGTCCCAGCTCCTGCCAACCTAGCAGTTTGAAAGCACACCAGTGCGAGTAGTTAAATAGGTACCACTGCGGCGGGAAGGTAAATGGCATTTTCATGCACTCTGGCTTCTGTCACAGAAGCGGTTTAGCCATGCTGGCCACATGACCCGGAAAGCTGTGGACAAACGCCAGCTCCCTCGGCCTGAAGCGAGATGAGCGCCACAACCCCATAGTCACCTTTGACTGGACCTAACCATCCAGGGGTCCTTTACTTTTTACTTTACTTACTCCTGAAAGCGCTATGTGTAGGACTAAATGTTTCCATGTTCTTTCTTCTCACCTTCCCCTTCCCCTTATGTAGGAGACAAGGGGAAGGATGCTGTGAATTGCACTTACAAGGATGAGAATGACTGTGTGGTACGTTTCCAGTACTATGAAGACTCCAGCGGCAAGTCCATCCTCTATGTCATTGAGGAGCCAGGTGAGGATGAAATCCACGTAAATGAGGCTTGATCTTTGGAGATTAGCGCCCCCCCCCCCCCGCTTAATCTGCAACTTGAGAAATGCAGCTACAGCAATGCACACAAAACTTCAGATAGTTTCATTAGCGAGAGGGGGAAAACATTTTTAATACGGTTCCTGTTGAAAGGAACTTACAAACTTAATTTATGTATTGGGGAAGAAAAGAGAAGAAGTAAGGGGATGTTCGTTTGAAAAAGAGCACATATCTGCCAACACAGCAGAACGTACCTAAGACTGCTTCTGTAGTAGAGGAGGGTCAAGCCAAAGGCTTCATGGGAAAATGGGGATTTGAAGGAAGAGAGAAACTGGAACCACATACATGGCCAAGGAAGGTATGGGGAACCAGGAACTTAATAGGCAGATCTCTGTTAAGCTAGAAGTATCAAGTTGGAGAGTGAACATCCAAGAGGGGAACATTTTGAGCAGTGATGAATTAAGCAAAACCGAACCGAAACAAACATTATTTATACAATAGTTTATGCTGCACCTTAAAAGGGGCCCCAGAGTGCCTTACAGTAATAAAAGCATAAATAGAATGAAACAGATGGCTTTCTTTTTGCTTAGGTTAGCAAATTCTGCCCCTGTCTGTGCCTGCTGATAGATCAGCAAAGGGGAGCGAGAGCTATAGTCTGTCTCCCACCTGCCTGATAAGGCTTGTGAGCAAAAGTTCCAGGGATCGTCATATAACACACACACCCCCAAAAAAGAGAATGACGGAGATTGGGCGTGTTCAGGGTAGCCTAGCCCTAGACCCCCAAAAGAGAATGAATAAAGGCACCAACAAATGCACCCCTAGCCACAAGTGGCATGGACCTGGCCAGTGACTCAGATGCAACTGTGTTACACAGAGGAGGTTGACACCCAACTGGGATAGATTACATGGGCCAGGCCAGACTTCAGTGGGGAGCAGTTTTGAGGCCAGCTAATGCCTGGTGGGAAACCACAAAGCTGCCAGTTCTCTTGCGACTCCGTGGGACTTAACACATACAGTAATGCGGAAGTAAGATAGAGCTGGAAATCTTTGGCTATCCAGTACGCTTTCTGGGGAGGATCTTGCGACAGTTGCTGCATCATCAAAACATCATCAGAGACTGTTGAGACTTGCAACTCCCTCCAGGGCAGGATTCCAACTGCTTGAGTCGTTGTACGCAGTGGCCTAACTATGCCTTGGTCTTCCAGGGAGTAGGTTCTTAACTGTGTTGATCTGGCTGTTAGGGAGGCTTTGGTTGTGCCCACATTGGATCTGATCCTCTGTCGTTTATGTCCTTGTCTTGGGCTGCGCCTAAATGAGAGTTTATCCCACGTTTGATTGAGCACTATAGCACTTAACTTGAATTGCAGAAAACGCAAGCGTCAAATCAGAACTAGGACTGAGACGAAGGGAAGGAGGTGTTTTGTGAAAATCCGATCCCCTTCTCAGTTAAGTGTAAATGTCTCCTAAAATGCCCATCTTTCACCTAGCTGGGTCTCTAGCAAATGAGCCCGGCTTGCAGAAAACCTATTAGAACTGATTCACACATGACATGTGCAGCTGTTGGTGGCTAGCAGTTGAATGTGTGGTCATAACTCGATGTGGCAGTCGTGAAGAGATGTTGAACATGCATGTGTGAAACAGAACCATCAGCTCGACACAAAAGGCCCCCAAGCTCTCTGTTCCCACAATAAGAATCCCACAGCTCAGAAGCAGAGGCCAAGTATCTTGAGGTGGTTCTTGCAGAGCAACTGCTTCTGGTGAGTAAGGCAGGGGAGCCATTCTCAAAAAAAGGGATTTGTGTATGCCACAACTGTGGCTTGTGTTTCGTTAGAAGAATGTGGATTTGATATTCCGCTTTATCACTACCCGAAGGAGTCTCAAAGCGGCTAACATTCTCCTTTCCCTTCCTCCCCCACAACAAACACTCTGTGAGGTGAGTGGGGCTGAGAGACGCCAGAGAAGTGTGACTGGCCCAAGGTCACCCAGCAGCTGCATGTGGAGGAGCAGAGACGCGAACCCAGTTCACCAGATTATGAGTCTACCGCTCTTAACCACTACACCACACTGGTGTTTTCCAAAATGGAAAACGAGCAAGGTGCCAACTATAGAGGAATGGCAGCATAAACTGACAGAATATGCATAGCTTGTGAGCCTAACATATAGAATAAGAGAACAAGAAGAACATACGTTTAAAGAAGATTGGGAAATGTTTATTGAATATATGGAGGAAAACTGTGCATATTTGAAAACGTGGACAGCATTAAGATAAATTTGACAATGTAAATAAGTTTTAATGAATGTAGTGCAAAATGAACCATGGAAAGAGGAAGGGAAGTCATTGAGGGGAGCCACTCTCATATGGGATGGAAATTACTGTTGTGCATTCTCAGTAGAGATCTCTACTGGTGTGCAGATGTGAGTTGTGGAGAGAGGATGGGAATACCAAAGTAGGAAACTTAGGAAGTTTTGCAGCCCTGTATAACACGTGCTTCTCTTGCAGACTGTCCCAAGGGGCCGGACATCCTGGTCGTTCTCCTTTCTGTGACGGGAGCCATTTTGCTTATTGGCTTGGCTACTCTGCTCATCTGGAAACTGCTCATCACCATCCACGACCGGCGGGAGTTTGCCAAGTTTGAAGAAGAGCGGGCCAGGGCTAGATGGGACACGGTGAGAAACACGAGAGGTGGTTGATGGGGGAGTAAAGAACAGCCCTTCAACATTTCTGCTGCAGTGGGGGGAGTTTCTTGCAGTGATCCCTAGTTCAGCTTCCATATTCTGGCAATCCTCATGCTGCGGATCATGCCAGCCACGGATATCAGGCTTATACCAGTTTTCAAACGAGACATTGAGGGGGAAACAGTGTGGGTGTCGCCAACTCACATCCATTCCTATTTCTCCAGCACTGTGCTGCTGAAAAAACATATGACTAGACTCATTGTGCTAGCATTTCCTGCCCTTTGCTCTGCTTCATTAACTAATGCCTGCAGGGAAGGAGAGAAAAACGCTAAAATAACGATGACATGTCATGTTCTCAAATGCGCGCTGCCAGGGAGATATGCTAGAACCCGTGTGCTTTGGGTCTATTACAGAATCCTGGGGTTGTCGGTTTGGTGAGAATAATTAGAGATTCCAATCCCTGCCTTGCAGAATTATGTTTGCCAGGGATCACTGGGGCAAGAGAACTGTTAAACTGGTTTAAGCCTATATGCAGACACCTTTTGACAATGGCCGTGAATTAGCAGGTACAGGTTATGGTTTGTGCCAACTCCTTTACGCTGCTATTTCTCCGTTTCAGGCCAACAACCCATTGTACAAAGGAGCTACCTCGACCTTCACCAACATCACGTACCGTGGGAATTCGTGAAGAGAGACAAGGCCTTGCAGGGCCTTCCTTACTGATGTTTACAGAACAGTCTGTGTTGCGCTGGCATGTGTGTTTTCTGTGTGCGTATGTGTATGTGAGATGTTTTAACAGCTGTTGCTCAAATGGTTCCGGAGCTTTTGCTCTGCGTTGTTCTGCTGCCGTGTGTGAACTATGCACTATGCTTCCGAGATTCTCTGTTTACCTCAGCTCACCTAGTACTGTGGGCCAAGCAGACCCCTATGCTGAAGGAGAAAGCAGGCCTCTCTCGTCAGTGGGAAGAGCATTGCGCAAATCCCTCGGGAGGGGACCGGACACTCTAGTTGAATAAAATTAAGGGGCAGGAATGTTGAGATGCAATCTAACTCTGAAGGGTTTTACTAATCAGGTTTGGAATTGGGGAGTTTTCCCTCCAGAAACAAACTTCCCCAGTTCAGATTATTGCTAACTCACTCCTAGCGGAGCCCAAACTCCTCCCGAAGTTTCACACCTGGTTTGAAATGGCTCAGCTGGTGAAATCTGTCCCTTGCTGTCGCCACCGCCGCTGCTTTCCCTTCTCAACCGAAGTTACCAGTCAGTTGGCTCAGGTGGGCATGGGAAAGCTTGCTTGCAAGGCCTCCCTTTTGTCTTAAGTGATACTTACCAGCATTTCTGGCACAAGGATACATGGGAGAGATTGTTCCCATGGATCCCATGGATCCTAATTCCTGCGGACACAACTGCAAGCATGGCGAGACCGAACTTCTAAATAGGTTCAGAAATAGAAAGCATTTTCTGGAATTTTGAGGGGTGCGCGAAATTATTTTCGGAACCTATTTCAAACTGATCTAGCTTTTACTGTACCAAAAACAAAGCACTGCATAATGTTTTTTAAATATATATAATATACCTCTTGCTATCTTCATCCCCAGAGTAAGTAAATAAGTGTTTTGTATTTAACTTCTAGAAAAACAAGAGATGCTGATGTATTTACAAGCTTGCCCCTGACCGTTTTGTGACCCTCCCTAATCATTCACAGGGCCCAGTTTGTTAAGGGACAAAAGGCACTCTGCACATGCTTAAAGGTACTTCTTTTTGCACGATGGCTCCGCGTGTTCCAAGGCTGAGCCCATGGGTTCAAATCAAGCCCTTTGCACAACATCTCTCACCTTTGAGCTGCATAGCCAACTTGATAATCCTGACGTGGGTTTGGGGAAGGGTCATTGCTCACTGATAGAGTGTGTATTATGTAGCAAGGCTGGGGAAGACCTGGGAGAGCTGTTTCCAGTCAGAGTAGACAGTAGCAGGCTAGATGGCTTGGCAGCTTGACAAGGTATTCTCCTAGGTTCACATGAATCAGGAGCTCCTTCGTCAAGATGTGATACGTGTCTCTGAGCTGTCGCTGTCTCACATGTTCCTGAATCCTCAGAGCCTCACCGTGGGGGCAAGATCTTAGCTCCTGCCTTCTTACTCAGGGAACCAAAGATTCGCCTTAAGGAGATGAGACTCCAGGGTCCTGGGTGACCTACAATTTTCCTCAGGTTTGTTGAAGGGGGTGGGGAATATGCTGAAGCAACCTGCCGAATGAAAACCGTCTTTTTCTGGGCTTGCGTCACCCAGTACAGCTAGATGGGTCCCACCCCCTCCATCTTTGTTGTGAACTATTCTGGTAGACTCGGGTATTTTCGCCATTGGCCCTCCTGACTGTGGAAGGTGGCTTCTCGACCTGAGACCCATAGTCTTTAAAAGAGGTGAGGATTCACAGAAAAGTTGACGCCCTCTTTCCTCTCCTTCCCGATTCTCACTCCACCGCTCACGCCAGTGCTTCCATCGCCCCAAGCTTCCCACATGCAGGCTGGATCCGTCAGCCAAAGTATCTCCCATTGCCGTCACAAACCTCTGACCCTGGAATTAAGAAAAGGAAGCAGCAGTTAGTCTGTTGGGAGCGACAGAATGTAGGTCGGAAGAAGTTGAGTTCACATGGCGCCAGCTTCCAAGTTACTCCTTTTCCCGTTCGCACAGTGGATCTACTCTTTTGGATTTCTCAGCTCCATCCGACCCCAGTCCCACCTGTCCTCTTCCGGTTTTGCTGCCAACTGGTGTGGATTCTGGGAAGGAGAGATAGGTGCCAGGAAGTGAGCCTGGGAACATATTTAGAAGGGGACAGGCAGGGCTGTGTTGATTTGGTGAAAAGCAGGTCTTGTTGAGGGCAATGATGTGATGGAATGAAGACTCTTGTCACACGCAAATAAAATCAAATTGTCTCAACCCACAGATTTGCCTGGCTTCTCTTAGTTATTCATTTGTCGTCTCTTCTTTTTTGCTCTTAGCCCAATGACAACTTTAACACAACGCCACAAATTGCTATTGCTGGTGAATTGAGAATGTGGAAGCAAATCTACCTATTTCCGGAACTGTGATAGGTACAGAAAGGAGCACCTAAAATAATATGTGGGGTGGATTACTTTTTCCAGTGAGGAAACACGCTAAAGTGTTGGGGGGGGGGTGGATTGGGAGGAGGCACCGTAGAAGTTTATAAAATCATTCTCAATTTTATAGCTGGTCTAGTACCCAGAAAGTAACAAGAGGTAGTCTTAAATGCTCAATTTTAGTGGTTGCTAGACTGCTTTATGCTCATGATTGTAAATCTAGAGAGATATTTGGAACAAGAATGGTTTTTTTACCAAATATTCAATAGGTTCAGAATAGACAGGATGAACTGGACAAAATAGTACTGGACAGAGTTAACAAAGGGAAATGTTGAGGCAGCAGTGACATCTAGGGGCATTTTGTGGGATTTCATCATATCCAAACACCCTGAGCATTCTACTGTAAAACAATATTTGCATACTTCGAAACTCATGTAATATAATTAATATAATGTACATTACAATATTTACAGAATTATTTGCTGATTAAAATATTAATATTCATTTATAAAGTATCAGGGAGGTGTGCAGTAATATAAACCATTTAGAAAAACTTTAAAAGCAATTCAAAGCTACCATGAACACAATTGGTTACCCAAGTATTTTTTTAATTTAACAAAATCTGCACAGGCCTTACAGCATTTATATATATATATATATATATATATATATATATTCAAGAGGTGGCTGAAAATAAATAAAAAATAGATTGTCACGGCATCAGTGACACAAAACGCTTGACTTCTGCTTGTGACCAGAAGTATCATACCCAGTGCTTTTTTTCCTGGGGGGACACAGGGGTACGCATACCCCTAAACATTTTGTGAATGTTTGTGCTTTTGTCCATTTACTGTATTTCTTTTCCCCAATTTGAACTATAAAATGGTGATTTTCTTGAATCAAAATGGGGGTACCCCTATACATTTTTTATTTTATTTTTTAGGAAAAAAGCACTGGTTAAGACAAACTTCTCCACCCTTCCTTTAGGGGGGGAAGCACTGGTCATATATATACAATTACGGTATTCTTCCATGTATAAGCCAAGGTTATTTTATATTAAAATTACACTAAAAAATGGGGTCGTCTTATACACAGATAGTGGAGAGGTGGGACAGGCGATTGGTGGCTGCCACAAGCAGGAGATTGTCAACAGTGTTTGTGTGGGTGAGACAATGTCCGCTGACTATAGGCTGCGGCGGCAATTGGGCAGGCGATTGGCGCTTGCTTTCGGCGAGCGGGCAGATGATTGGTTGTTTCGTCGATGTGCATGCAATTGATTGGCTGTGGTGGTCCTGCGGGTAATCCCCCCCCAAAAAAAGCTCAGCAATTCTTGGCAATCTCCTCCCATTTTCTCTATTTTTTGTAGTCCCGTGTTATACACAGAAAAATACGGTACATCTTTTTTGCAGGTGGTTGGTGGGGTAGAGGGAGGGAAGTCAAAGGAGCGCAATTTGCCTAAGGTCTCGTAAACGAATTTACAGCAAAACTGAGAATCAAACCGAGGACTTCTTGTTTTATAGCCCCAAATGCAACCATTTGCACATTTACTCAGAAGTAAGTCTCAGGGTGGCCCTGTGGGTTAAACCACAGAGCCTAGGACTTGCTGATCAGAAGGTTGGCGGTTCGAATCCCCACGACGGGGTGAGCTCCTGTTGCTCGGTCCCTGCTCCTGCCCACCTAACAGTTCGAAAGCACATCAAAGAGCAAGTACATAAAAAGGTACCGCTCTGGCAGGAAAGTAAACGGCATTTCCGTGTGCTGATCTGGTTTGCCAGAAGTGGCTTAGCCATGCTGGCCACATGACCCAGAAGCTGTACGCTGGCTCCCTCGGCCAGTAAAGCGAGATGAGCACCGCAACCCCAGAGTCGGTCACGACTGGACCTAATGGGCAGGGGTCCCTTTACCTTTACCTTTAAGTCTCAGTGAGGCTTCTTCCAAGACAAAGCCACTCCTACTGCCCTGTGATCATGGGGTGAAGGAGGTCGGGATAAAAATGCGCGAAACAAATCAGTCTTTGTGAGCTTTATAACGTTGCTGGGCGTCTTTGCCAGCCTGCATAAAATGAACCATTCTGGTCTCATGGCCATGTGTTCCTCCTACTGCTTCACTCCCAAGGACGACAGCAAGCTTGTTCAACACAGACTTGCACCTTTTTTATTTTGGATAGTGATTTTCTACAACATGTGCTCTGTTTGGATCACTCACTGCTCTATGACATCATCGGGCCGGAACCTCTCAAACAACAGTTGCCACCCAAGTGGCGGCGGTGGTGAAAAACATGGCACCGGTGGAGAACCATTGATGCCAACTCGTGGCCCTGCTTCCACCAGCCATAACACCTGAGCTGCCTTGGGGGAAATGGAAGCCCTGGTCTCCACTCCATCCCCATATTTCTGCTCCTAACTGTACCTCCCGTTGATGGTTCATCTCATCCTAGGCCCTCGAAAGCCACCCAACAAGATTGCTGATCCCTACGGCTTCTGACCAAGTGAGTTGTGGTTCTGAGGGACTGGAAAAGGAGGCAGTCTTCCCTTGGTGCTCCTCCTGTTCCTTTTATTCATTCCCCCTCCACTCGCTCTGGATGAAGGGCCATTGAAGAAGTGCTCAATGATTTCTTTTCCACCTTCAGTGAAGAGGACCTTGTTGTGTGGCCTTCATCTTTTCTGTTGACCTTTGACTTATCCCTGCTAATGTGGAAGGAGTACATCTCCCTGCTGTGGTTCCTGGAAAATGGATGACATCATCAACAGAGTTAGCAGGTAATAGGGGCTCTTAAATGTTACCCTGTGGGATGCAGGTGGCGCTGTGGTCTAAACCACAGAGCCTAGGGCTTGCTGATTGAAAGGTCAGCGGCTCGAATCCCTGCGACGGGGTGAGCTCCCGTTGCTCAGTCCCTGCTCCTGCCCACCTAACAGTTTGAAAGCATGTCAAAGTCCAAGTAGATAAACAGGTACCGCTCAGGCGGGAAGGTAAATGGTGTTTCTGTGCACTGCTCTGGTTGGCCAGAAGTGGCTTAGTCCTGCTGGCCACATGACCCGGAAGCTGTATGCTGGCTCCCTCAGCCAGAAAAGCAAGATGAGCACTGCAACCCCAGAGTCGTCAGCGACTGGACCTATTTGTCAGGGGTCCCTTTACCTTTAAGTTTACCCAGCTATTGATATACCCCTAACTAGGGTGATCAACTTGCTTTTTGATAATACTTTATTCTCAGGAGGTCAGTCTAAACATTTTGGGATTGCCCTGCCCTTCAAGAAAGTAGGGTAAGGAAGGTGGCTCCTAGACCAATGGGGGTGCTTTTTCCTGTGTGATGTGAGGGAGAAGAGAAAGAACAATTTAGCTCTGTCTGAGCACCATCAGATCGAGGTAAAAAAGGTAAAGGACCCCTGGACGGTTGAGTCCAGTCAAAGGCGACTATGGGGTTGGGGTGCTCATCTTGCTTCAGGCTGAGGGAGCCACCGTTTGTCCACAGACAGCTTTCCAGGTCATGTGGCCAGAAGGACTAAAATGCCTCTGGCACAACTGGACACCATGACGCAAATGCGGCAGCTAGACTGGTGACTGGGAACAGCCGCCGAGACCATATAACACCGGTCTTGAAAGACCTACATTGGCTCCCAGTACGTTTCCGAGCACAATTCAAAGTGTTGGTGCTGACCTTTAAAGCCCTAAACGGCCTCGGTCCAGTATACCTGAAGGAGCGTCTCCTCCCCCATCGTTCCAGCCCGGACACTGAGGTCCAGCTCTGAGCGCCTTCTGGTGGTTCCCTCACTGCAAGAGGCCAAGTTACAGGGAACCAGGCAGAGGGCCTTCTCGGTAGTGGCACCCGCCCTGTGGAACGCCCTCCCATCAGATGTCAAAGCGATAAACAACTACCTGACATTCAGAAGACATCTGAAGGCAGCCCTGTTCAGGGAAGTTTTTAATATGTGACATTTTAGTTTATTTTTCATCTTTGTTGGAAGCCGCCCAGAGTGGCTGGGGAAACCCAGCCAGATGGGCGGGGTACAAATAATAAATTATTATTATTATTATTATTATTATTAACCAGAGCACATGGAAACGCCATTTACCATCCTGTCGCAGTGGTACCTGTTTATCTACTTGCACTGGCGTGCTTTCAAGCTGCTAAGTTGGCAGGAGCTGGGACTGAGCAACGGGAGCTCACCCCGTCTCAGGGATTCAAACCTATTGATCAGCATGCCCAAGAGGCTGAGTGGTCTAGACAAGCACTGAGGTAGCGGGGAATGATACTATGAGCAACTATGAGTATATACAGTAATTCTGAAAAAAATAGGAAGAGAAACAAAGACAAAAAGGAACAATTCCAAGAATAGAGGGGGATTATTTATGACAAATCCCAAGAGTCCTTACGTACTTCCTTCTACTTGTCACTTATTAAGGGTTATTTATGACATTTTTTGATCCTGAGTATGACAAGGATAAGGAAAGAACCGCTTCTTATAACCTGTGAAAGGTTAATTTTGGGAATAAATTACAGGTCCCTTACTCTGTGTGCTGATCTAGATCAGTGGTTCCCAAATCTCCCCATCTCCCTGAGGGTCTTGGCAGACCGCTTAACAATGTGGTCTGTCAAGTAATGTGCTGTATGATTTCTAATTGTATTTTGACAGACAAGCTGTGGACTTTATGAATGAAGCTTGTGAAACCAAGGGTTGCCCATATTGTCTATTCCCTTGTAGTTTTTGTTGTTGTTGCTGGAGGGTTTTTGCTCATTCGTGGTATCCTCACCACTAATGGCGTTATCCAACCATATCATAGTATTGTGTTTTCTTTTCTTTTTTTAAAAGATATTTATTAAAGTTTTACAAAGAGAAAAAAGTTACA